ACTTTCTGTTGGGGATGAAAAAATAATCAACAGAAAATAACTGTTTGGTATAAAAATGTCAAATAGTTTTAATAAATAAGAACATTTTAAAAGCCAGATATAATTTGAAAATGCAAATTGTTATACACTAGGCAAATGTGAAGTTCATCTTGTCAGTTATTTTGCATTTACATTTAGAATCATGTGCAAAACAGTGTAGCCGAGACCATTGATTGGCGCGCTAAAATATCCCATTGACTGGGTCAGATTAGGTGAACGTTCGTCTGTAACGCCCACAACTCACGACGTATTTATTATAGACATTTAAACTGTAGGGTCACCAAAGGGTCTCAACGCCTAAATAAAATAATTCGAAAAACTAATCAGGAATAACCTTTGTGTTTTGATTTATATTGAATACTTAAACGTTTTTTACTTGTGTTTTTGTTATGTTTTGATAATGAATTTTTATGATATCGGACGTTCTTTCAGCAAAAAAGGATTTAACTGGCTTTAAAAGTTACAATGGATGTGTTGATTATTTATAAAATAACTAATCGAAGAATTCAAATAGAGAAAAATATTCAACGAGTGACCGAACAACACATTAATTCACGAATGCGCGTAGCGCATGAGTTAATTATCAGTGTTGTTCGGTCACGAGTTGAATATTTTTCGATATTTGAATTCTTTGATTAGTTATTCTTTTTATTACATTGGCAAAGGGCTTTTTAGTGAAATTAAAGTAGAAAATGTAAGGAACTATATCTTTTTCTACGCATTCACAATTTGTTTTGATCCGACGTTATCGACGTCTTGACAACGCCTATTGTTGTATGACGTCAGAGGAGTGAAATAACCACGTTTATTTCACATGTGAAATTATCGGTTTTTATTTCACTGGGAAATCAATGTAATTCATTGCAACCAATGTAATAATATCTTTTTTTCGAACGTCAAAGCGATTTAACAATTGCGGTTGTCTAATTATGTCGTCTTTTAACTTTTATCTGGTCAAAATTTTATTTTAGAACGAATGCATGATCAACTTTAAAAAGTGTGCAAACACATAACATATAGACAAAATATACTTCTTTCCTGTCTTTTTCGTACTTGCAAGTTATTAGACAGTAAAAAGGCTATTTGGATCAAGCCTTGTGAAATTTGCATTTACGTTTTTGAATAGGTACACTGAAATGCAGTCAAGTTTAGCGATTGATAATTCATTGATAACATTCTGGCGTATCACAAACAAACAACTTGTAACGTCTCATTTCATTGGCGGAAAGATTTAAATACAACAACAATTGTAGTGTGCACATGAATTGACACAGGTGACCGACAATGGAATGTACTACGTTACTACGAACGTAAAAAACAATGATTTTTGGTCGAAATAATTAAATAAGTATTTTGTAAATTTCAAATAGTGGGGTCGAAATATTATACTAATAATTTGTGTTAAGTAATATTCTTTATGCATGCAGCACTTGTACCGCACTATGAAAAATATAAGGATAAAATAAAATACATGTGCCGCTTTTATACGGATGAATGTATGAACCACTTTAATTTCTTTCATATTGACGCTAGGTTATTATCCTGACAATGTCGTAGTTACTTATAATAAGGATCTCATAATACTGATCCATTTCAAATTTATGATGGGTTGCACATTCCTCTTTTATTGTTTTCATGCTATAAAACGAAAATAAAGTAGCTAAGCGTTTGGTCATTCAGAAATGACGTGTCATAAACGAGCAAATTGTCTCCGAAAGATCGTATCATGTGTGCACGTGAATATAGATGTACTATGCAATGTACTATCATGGTCACCACGAAATTCAAATGAATTCAGTGAAGGCATGTTGGTGTAAAAAGGTTTGAAATGTTTCATCGGCGAAGATTTTATTTTTGCATGTGTGGAACTAAAAAATAAATAAATACTTGTGAGACATGTCGTAGTTTATAAGGAACTATATAAATGTACTGTTTTCGATTTTAATTGGTTGAAAATTTATCCTTTAATTTCATACCGTAAGAATAGAGCTTTGCATAACATTGTTGAACTATCCGCCAAAGTAACGTGTGGCATGCGTGCGTATTAAGATGAAATACAAAATCATACATGTATGATAAACTTATAAACGAAATATTAAGAAATTAAGGATGACTACTGTAAAAGTATGTACAAAAATGGAGTCACCTTTTATCAATACATTTAGTGAATAACCACACTGTTTAAAACTGATTGTTTTCTATGCAACTATTTAAATATTTACAATATATGATTTTCAACCGAGGATAGCAAAACAGTTAATTATAAATTAAGAAAGTATATCGCTGGAGTTTATAAAGTACATTTCCTTCCACTGTGCCATGGTTTGTCATCTCCATTTTTTCTCTAAACAAAGCATGGCTGGTTACATGTTCTGAATTTACTTAGAATTTCGGGATTTATTTTTCAAAATCAAGTAAACTAAATCAGAAAAAAAATCACACTATCCTAAAACTTATGAAAGAATATGAATAATGAACATGACAGTTTATAACACAAACCCATTTACTATAAAAATCGAGCAATATCTTTAGTATATATGTAATTTGGTTATTTTTGTAGTTAAGTACGGTTTCATTTCAAGTACAACGTTAATTCATCAAGTCCATTGAATAAAAGATAAGGCAGGGTGAGCAACTTGACAAAAAAAAGGCAGGATGACGATTTATGTAAAACAATCAGGATAAACTAATAATTATAGTCAGGACCTAACAGACTGAAAATAGAAAGACAGGACAGAGATAACAACTTAAAAAATGCAGGACAAAATGTTTCATCCAAGTCCCCCACCCCCAATCAAAATAAAATGGTAGCTCCCTTAATCCAGAACCAATTGAGAGGAGACAGTTGAATTAAATATTTCGACGTGACTGTTAAGATTAAAGTTTAAAATTTTACATGCACATGTATAAAAGCTAGAATTGCCATGGGATAATCAAGAACACAATCATGTACGCGAATACGACGATGGAAGTTTTTAACGACCTTGACCGGCTACGTGAATACTGATCAGTCCATTCATCTTTATAGTACGCGTGTTCTATTTTCGCAGGTGTGAGGTCGAAGGTTTGAATTGACCAATGAAAACGATCGTTCCTTAACGAGTTAATCTAATAAAGTTTGTTTGACTGATTATGTTGCACGACCTTTCGCTAAGCTTGGCCGCAGTTCAGTATAAAATGTATAGTTTGATGATCTTTTCTGCTAACTACTATACTTGTGAAAAACCCTTGGCAACAGAAACATATTCAGCTTTTTTTTAGTAATGGACGACTTCGTACATTTTATGATCGAAAATAAAAAATGTATATAATATACTGTGCACTGTAGTTCGTATATATACTGAGACCCTTTGGCAACCCCACAGTTTAAATGTTTATAATAAATACGTCGTGAGTTGTGGGCGTTACAGACGAACGTTTACCTAATCTGACCCAGTCAATGGGATATTTTAGCGCGCCAATGAATGGTCTCGGCTACACTGTTTTGCACATGATTCTATCACACATTTCAATTTAAAATAAAAGAACAAAAAAAGGGGGGGGGGGTTGAAAAATTAAAATAAAATGTTCATTTAAATTTTACGAATGAATAAAAATTCCGGCATCGTTTTTGTTCAAAACATGAAATATAATTTAAGGTAAAAAAAAAGGGGGGGTTGAAAAATAAAAATAAAAATTTCAGGATTCACAATTCTTTTAATAAATTTCAATAAGGCTATCAGAATCCCCCCTTTCCACACACCTCTTATTAATATTTCAGGACAAATGTAATTGTTACTTTATTATTTAATCATATTAGAAGAAACAACATTCTAATTCTGAGCTGATCAGTCTTTGCAGTTACTCGTTAATGTTTTGTGTTTAGCAGAGAAGCAGCCAATACCAATCTTATTTTGTCTTGACTTAAGAACCAGCCACCTCCCACCCTATTTAAATCCCAACATCCAGACTCTAAATTCCATGGTTAAGATGTCAGTGTTATTATAAACAACCTGTTTGTAAAATGTTACAATTAATAAGCATTAAAATAATTACTTTTTTACTTTCTTTCTTAATTTTTCATAAAGTGAAATCTCCATCTATGACAAAACTTGTAGTCAGGAAGTGTTTACATTGTTTGGAGTCATATTACACTTTAACATTTTACAGATAAAATTGAAACAATAATATATTTAATTGAAAGTGACAAGTACTTAGATAATACTAGCTTATCTGACATTTATTACCAGATGAAAGAGCGTCCCAGACTAGCGAAAAATAGAGGGCTGCGTGGTGGACTGTGATAGTTCTTTAGAAGTATTTCATGTTTGAATATTAATGTTCGACCTTTTCAGCTTTTGATTTCTTTAATCTTAAAAATACGTATTTCCTTGATTTAATGCTCGGTGGAGTGAAACTTGTCCAATTTTCTTAGATGCTGCTGCATCTTTCTCATAGGCTGATGCAAACAACATAAATGCTTGGTCACTGTTTTAATGACTGTGAGATAAAAGAAAGGCGAAAGAAACCAAAGAAATATTCAAACTATTAAGTCGAAAACAAACTGACAATGTCATGGCAATAAAAGAAAAAACGAAAAGACAAATAATAGTATACAAAACAAAACTTAAAACGGCCAAATGAATTCCAATACATTTTTAGATGTGTCTCCTATACCCATTTGCAGATCTGCCCTTCTAAATACTTAGGGGAATTCAAACCTTAGTTTTACCGCAATTATGTGATTTATTTTACAGCCAAAGGTATAAATAAGCACTGGCTATCTACAGGTTGGATGGTATCCTCGGGGAGTGACAAGAATATCGATGTTTTCTTTGCAATTATTTTTCTTCTTTTTTGATTTGCTTTGTGTGTGTGTGCATATATATATAAGGACTGATAAAATTCTGAACTACACTTCATTACTGCATTTAATAGCCGTAAAAGAACACTGGTAACTGTTTTGAGAAAATACGTCCTACCGTTCTTGTCGTTTTCTTTTTATCATCGCTAGTTTCATTAGATTCGTCACCAGTGTCAAAAACATCATCATTCATTAATTTTTCCTCTACACCATTGTTGTCGTGACCATTATCACTACTTGCATCACATATCTTTTCTTTATACTCATCTTCATCGTTAACACTAATATAACTTTTCAAGGACGGTCGTTGTCGTGCCATTGACTTGCACTATGACCTTCAGCATATTTCGATAGATTTTTATCTGGAAACATATTCAATATTGTGTTTACCGTATGTATATATATATGCACAACAACAACGTAATATTACACTACGCCCGTGGTAACGTTACTTGGTTACATATCTTGAAAAGTTCCGTGAAGGATGAAAACGTTAGAACAATGATGCTAATATTTTATTTTCTACTTACCTGATTTACGAATATACGAATTTGTATTACTTGATTTAATTCACTTGACTGGGCGGAGTTTAACTGGTTCACTTATCATAGACCAGTCCATCTATAGACAGGTATGGAACGCCACAGCTGTCTTATGTGGAACTCTGATATGACGTTATATTATTAATTCGTATATTTTAACTAATTTGATTTGTTCAGGAATAGTCACATGTTAAACTATATTTTCGAAGGTAGATAGAAAACGGCTGATAGCAAAAAGCATATTGCATAGCAAAAAGCATATTGCACGGTTATTTTTAGAATATCTAAAAACCGATATACTTTGTGACGTCATGTAATGAATTTCATTATATTGTTAAAAGTTTTATTAAAAAATATCTTTTGATCGATTGTTTGAAGAAAAAAAATCTTCAAATAAATAAGATGTTAAAAAACAAACATAAAAAATAAATGAAATAACAACTACTATGTTGTTATTGTCTAGGAGACAATATGATATCTATAAATTTCCAACAAAATCAAACGACGATTTTCATACAAATATGGTCGGAAATTAATAATATAACAATTATAGCCTATGTATGAGGTCAATACAGGATATATCGACCCAAAGAAGTATATCGACCTCGGACTTCGTCCTCAGTCTATATACTTCTTTCAGGTCAATATATCCTTGTATCGACCTCATACCAAGGCTATAATTGTATAATGTTGTTCTGTTATTACTTGATGATAGTTTGTCTTTACATAATATGATTTTGACATTATGTAATGATGTTTTGATATAACTCAATATGGAAAAGTCATTACTTAATGATATTCCGATATTACATGATATGGTTTCGTATTGACTTGATATAGTTTTTTCATTACTTAATATGGTTTTGTCATTACTCGATGTGGTTTCACCATTATTTAATGTGGTTGTGTCATTAGACAATGTGGTTTTAACATTACTTGATGTGTATGTGACTTGACGTAATGTAGTTGTTTCATTACACGATGTGGTTTTGTTATTTCGTGATGATGATTTGCCAATTCTTTATATGGCTTTAACATTACGTAATGATGTTTCAAAATTTGATGATTTTACACTACAGCATGTGTTTGTTTCAGTATTTGATGTGGTCATGTCATTCTTTGATGTGGTTATCCCATTACTACTACGAGGTAAAACCACGTGACCATTTTGGAAAAAATATGTTCTGTTTTTAGACCGATTTCCATATGTCGTTTGTGTAATGCGCTTTGGTCGAGTACCGCTATCTATTAAGTTAAAGTTCAAATTAAAGTTCAAGTTGTTGTTCAGAGTTATTTGGTATGAAAAAAAGGAACGACAGACAAAATAAGAAAATAAGTACTAAAAAATTAACAGTAATTCGGACATATCCCAAACCATTTGGTCCTGCCGTTTTTTCCTTAGTTCTCAAATGGAAGCTGTAAATTAATAAATAAAGTAAAGATTCTTATTAACCCTGTGTCTCGCCGGATAATTCTGCTGTCGATGTAAAAGCGTAAATTAAATGTTGACTGACTGTACATTAACTGGTACACTTAACGGAGGAAAACATGTTTTTTCTGTAGATGCTTTTATCTTGATCTTGAAGAATAACTCGTACACAAGTTTTATAACAATTCATGGAGGTTTACAAATTTATCATGTCAAAACAGTTTAATTCGGTAATATTAAATGCATTAAAAAAACCTTATATAGAAATAAAGAAATGTGGTATGATTGCCAATGAGACAACTCTCAACCACATACCAAATTTCGAGTTGAACTTCGAGTTTGAGTCACATTTAAAGATAGAGTTCCGAATTACAATTGGACTTCAACTTTAAATTTGAGTCACCTTTTGGCGTAGAGTTCGAGGTAAACACTTATTTGAGTCTCATTTAGATTAAGATTTTAAAAGAGTTGAAATTCGAGTCATCTAATATGAGTTCTATTTTTTTATCATGGATCAAGGGCTTTTGTTCGAGCTTCCGAAAAGAGGGTTCAGGGGTAGGTATGCGTACAAAAGATAAACAATTTTACAGCATACAAAACACAACATAGAAATTGAAATAAAGTTAGATGTGGTGTGATTGCCAATGAGAAAATTATCCACCATAGTTTAAATGCAGTGGATGCAAGCAATCATAGGCAACCGTACAGCCTTCAACACACCGTATAGTCGGCTTCAAAAGACCACCACGTGAAAATGTGAAACAATTCAAACGAGAAAACTAATGGTCCCCCCCCCTTTTTAAAAAAAAAAAACAACTCAAAATCTCTAAAATAAAATTTTGAATCAAAACCAAAAAGTATACAGATCTTGAGATTAATATAACTAAGAAGTTTGTAAAGTTTTAAGCAATAATCATAAATTGTTTTGGAGATACCGAGCGACATGTGAAAAAAATACACACACCTGTTTTAGTTACTAAGTCCCGTAACTCAAAAAGTTTTAATCTTATTTTCACCAAAAAGTATACAGATCGTTTGACCATCATTAGAAACAACTATGTTAAGTTTCATGAAATTTGGATAAGTCGTTCTCAAGTTACGGTGCGACATGTTTACGCCGGACAGATAGACGAACAGACGGCATTTGTATACCCATGATAATACGTCCCGTCAAAATTTTGACGGGCGTATAAAAACAAATATGACACACATGAAACAACGACAACCATTGAACTACAGGTTCCTGACTTGGGGTAGGCATTTAAAGAAAGTGCACGCGGCGGAGTTTAACATGTATGTAAGCGCTAATCCCTATCCTAACCTAGTGTATCATAGCACAGCATAAGAAGAAAATGTAAAGACAGTTTTGATTGGCTCAACTAAATAGATCAGTATGACTGGGTAACATAAATCCATTAGCGTGATCTCGGGTGCTTTGGAAGGGTAAACGGATTCTGCTTAAATTGTGGCACCCGTCGTGTTATTCGTGAAAGTACAAACCCGGTGATTTGTTTTTTTTGGTAGTTTACATTCGAGGAAAAGATGACGGGATTGTGGTTACGATAATTGGAACCTATTCGTCGTCACCTGTGAAACAGATATTTCAAAAAGTTTTTTTTCAATTAGTGCGTGGTATATCAGAAAATGCAATTAATAAAAAAAAGTTTAATATTCATATGTTCAAATGAACATACACGCTAAAAAACCTTGAGAATTCTTATCTTATAGAATTGATGCTTTGTTGTTGAGCACCCCCCCCCCCCCCTCCCTCCCCCCACACACACACACACACACACATTTCCCTTTAACTTTAGTGCGAGTTGATTTAAAGCGTCTCATTTGTTGAAAATACAGTACAAGTCTTTTGATTTGTGTTGTACCTGCGACAATGATGTAGCGACAGTGAGATACAACAAACTATATGCCGTCGTCGGTAGTATCGGCGGCGTCTTCATCATTTAGGTTGTTAGGTTTCTAGTTTGAACTGTTTTTATATTTTTCATTTCGAGACCTTTTTAAACTTACTATCAGGTATGAATTTTGCTCATTCTTAAAGACCATACAAATCCCACATATATGTTAACTTCTACGTCATTTGGTATGTGGTTGAGAGTTGTCTCATTGGCAATCATATCACATTTTTTTTTATTTCTATGTAAGGTTTTTTTTTTTGGCATTGAATATTACCGAATTAAACTATTTTGACATGATAAATTTGTAAACCTCCATGAATTGTTATAAAACTTGTATAGGAGTTATTCTTCAGGACCAAGATAAAGCAGTGTTCCTTGGAATCATTTACGAATTTATTATAATACTGCTTCCATTTGAGAACTAAGGAAAAACCGGCAAGTAGTTTTGGGATATCCCCCTTATGTCCGAATTACTGTAGTACTTTTTTTCTTAATTTTGTCTGTCGTTCCCCTTTTTCATACCAAATAACTATGAACAACAACTTGAACTTTAATTTAAACTTTAACTTAATGAAAAGCGGTACTCATCCAAAGCGCATTACACAAACGACATATGGAAATCGGTCTAAAAATAGAACATATTTTTTCCAAAATGGTCACGTGGTTTTACCTCGTAGTAGTAATGGGATAACCACATCAAAGAATGACATGACCACATCAAATACTGAAACAAACACATCATGTAAATCGTCAAATTTTGAAACATCATTACGTAATGTTAAAGCCAATTAAAGAATTGACAAAATCATTATTACGAAATAACAAAACCACATCATGTAATGAAACAACTACATTACGTCACATCAAGTAATGTTAAAACCACATTGCCTAATGACATAACCACATCAAATAATGGTGAAACCACATCGAGTAATGACAGAACCATATTAAGTAATGACAAAACTATATCAAGTCAATACGGAACCATATCATGTAATATCGAAATATCATTATGTAATGACTATTCCATATTGAGTTATATCAAAACATCATTACGTAATATCAAAACCATATTATGTAAAGACAAACTACCATCAAGTAATAATAGAACAACATAACGTAATATCAGAGCTCCACATAAGACAGCTATGGCGTTCAATAGACAGGTGTTTTGGGATAAACCCATCAATGAAGTGTCCAGTTATGGTCATTGATCCGGTTAAAATATGTAAACACTATATGTGTATTCGCTAAGTAAATAGTGAGACAACGTCGTTGATTTTCTTGTAAAACGGAGTTTAAAAACATGTAAAATTTTTCACATTTTCGAAATTGTGGATATGAAAGTATGACTATGACGACGGCAGTTGCATAATATGCATATTTCGTTTCCTTATAACGTTTTGATATACTTTTTTTCCTCCTTTTGGTAGCAATACACAGTTAGGAAAAAAACTTAAAATTGACACTCATAATTT